TCCGCGATGCCGTGACTTTCGATCAACCCATCACTTTCGGCTGAAATTTGGTCTGGACCTTCGTTGGAGGTCGTGCTTTGTTCGTATATCATACCCAGTCATAATTATCAAGCCTTGGCCTCCTAGATCCAAAATGGCCAACTAGGTGGGGTGGCCAAGTAGGGGGGTCTCAAATAGTACGTTTCCAGGTGTTTTTCCGGAAACCATTCAGGGCTCTTTCGCAAGTTCGGTTTCACCATGGAAAAATCAGTGCCACCGGCGGTGTTGGAAACACATTCATCTATCGCTCCGGATACGGGCCAGATTCTGCCAGATTCCAGTCAATACCGACCAGTTACGGCAACCTCACGACCATCATGGGTCTCCGCGTATATAATCCGTGGTGAAATGATTCTAAATTCTTTGAACGGGCGGGTCTTGTTCATCGAGTCAGGATATCGATTATCCGAGTCGACTGCTTGCTTCCATTACTCAGTCTCTAACTTGTACCGCTCACATGCATATTTCCTTACGCTCGGGATTGGCGACCATTGCGATCATTGGACTTCTTTCTGGCTCGGTTCTTTCTACGATGGGCTGGGTGATGGCCTATAAATTAGGTGAGTGCACCCAAATTCAAGTGATGTTCGGGACACTGAAGGCAGCGTCTATCTAGACACAATCTCTGACACGGAAAAACTCGCCTTGGGCTTACAAGTACTCGTTTACCTCCTGCTCACCATTTTTTCAACCGTTGGGTAAGTCTTGCCAGTAATTCAATCTATCGAGACTTAGTCAACCCCTAGGCTGTGTGGGACAATGTTCCAACTCCGAAGCACGGTTCAGGTTTTCGTCTCCATGCTTTTCGTGGAGCTCCTACTCGGCCTTGGATCCGGAATTTTCGCGCTGTACTTGCTCTTCCAGAAACAATCTTCGGAGACAATACAAAGTTGCCTTTCCGGTTCCGAGGAATGGCTTAAAAAACAACTGTGCGAGCGGTCCTCGGCGTTGAAAGGTGTTTTTGTTACCATGTTTTTGGTGATTTGCTTCATCGAAACGTGTGCGTGACTCTGGGATCTCATGAATTTCTTTTAACTCTCCATCCTCTGCTAGTCGGTCTCATCCTAGGGAACGCCTACTCTGCTCGATTGAGGGTAGCAGAAGCAGAGGTGAAAATGGACGACCCTGATGACGATGCTTACTGGGAGGTTTAGTGAGATAACAGACTCGAGACTTACGACAATTATGATAATGGAACATGACCGAACAAATTCACATGAGAATTCGTCCTTCCGCTTCCAGTACTTAACAGTCTACAGATGCTGACGAAACTCGTCAAGATTAGGTTATAGTTCAACACTCTATAGAATCGATTACGGCTATGATTTTTTGAGGTCAGTTGAATACACCTCCGACTGTCAAAATCGGTTAGTTCCATTGAGACGGCTAGTTTAAGGCCAACTTGAACAGAACGAGCAGGTGGGCAGTTCGCGTCTGATCGCGATCTACCAAACCCCGCAAGGAATCACAGGCTAAGCAGAAACCATGAGCGGACTGTAGTACCCAAACGAGGAAAGAGACGATTACGCGGTGACTCCAGCGGTTTCGATCGGGAGGCCGAGCATCGTAAGACCCGTGAACACGAAGATGGCAGCGCTGGCGTATACGGGTCTGCGAAAAATCGGAATCAACCATCCAACATGTAATCCAAGCAGCCTTACCCGTTTGGTGTTTTCCCGGCGTTGCTATACACGGCAATGACTGCGCGCGCATTAGCTTCCGGAATTTAATAGGCTTATTGGGACTCACCGGGCGCGAAAAGGCCTGTAACTCTGCTCGCAGCGGCAGCTAGGGCGTCGCCAGTGCCGCGACGAGGGGTCGGAAAGACTTCAGGCGCATACCCGTACAACACCTGTGGCCAATCATTATGAAACAGCTTACTAACCGCGAGAACTGAACACATACACCGTAGAAGGCATTCTCCCAGAAACTGGCGATGGAAACTAGGGCATTGACTTGGACAGATGTCCGTGCCGCACTATATAATCTTGTCAGTGAAAATATCTCCGTCGGAGAGAGGAACTAACGTCAACGCAAAGAGGAAGACGCCGGACATGATTGTGAAAAATCTGCAAAACTCCATTAGGCATTCCACCAACGATCCAATCAACACGAAGGACGAACGCTAAGGAGTACTTGCGCCCGGTGCGGGACCACTGGACCATGACAGCGGCGAGCATGGACCCCCCGACGCCGCAAGCCGCTTGATAAGTGTAGGCGGCTAATAGATGAGTGTCACGATTGATTCTTGAGAACAGATACCGGTATAGCTTACAGTAAGTTGCATCGATGCTAGTCGAACCGGTTTCCTTTTCGCGGGTTGACAGATAGGCGCCGCTGCATTGAGACACGATTAACCAAAAAAACATCTGACAGTGAAAGGGGCGCACAGGAACGCATTGAAGAGCGGATACGCGAGTCCGAGAGCCCCATCTGAGTGAGCGTCGTCGGCAACTCGTCGGCAGATGAACATGGCGAGCGCTCACAGATAAAAATAATAAGACCAGACGAATAAGCCAGACGCGGGGTGCAGAACAATCCTCTGATGTTCTCGCCCCGGACGTCGTCGCTGAAAACTGCGGGTTAAATCCTGGACCGAAGAAATTACAACCCAGAACTCACAGGCTGTTGCGGATAAGGCCCCAGGTGGAAAACTTGGTGACGGGAACCTCCGCACCGGAGTCCATTGGGTCAAGATACGGGGTAGCAGCCTCATGGAGATCCTGTATTGTTAGTTTTGAAGTTGTCTTGTTCTTTTTAGCGATGTTGTGGATGACATCGACGGCTTCCTGGTCGCGCCCAATACCTGAAGTTATGTCGGTTGTGTGCCAATGAAATGAGGTGGGAGTACTCACTAACGAGGAATTTGGGAGACTCGTCCATGGGGAAGACGAAAATCCGCAGAATGCCCAGGAACAGCATCATCGCGCCCATTGTATAATAGGAATCTGTGAAATAGAAAGTGTGAGTTCTACATATTTTCTCAGAGATGAAAAGTGATTACACCGCCAGCCATTATTGTTGGTGTTGTCGCACCGGTATAGATTTCCGTCTGGAAGCACTTGCACACCGACTAGGCTCGTGTCACACGAGTACCTAGAGCAATTAGATAACAACAAATGGCGAAAGGCTGGGAAGGACCAACTTGGCCAAGAAGACCCAAGAGATAAGCGACGCGACGACCTGTCCTACTGCCCACCAAAGGGAGAGAAGGGTGAGAAGGTACTGGTTCTTTCCGGGGAGGAACTCGAGGAAGAGAGCGCCGTCAACGGGGAGGTTGCCACCAACACCAAATCCTATATGGTAAATTAGCAGTTTATTTCAGCAACATGGTTGAACTCACCGATGCAAGCGAGCAACGCTTAAAAGAATGGGAATGTTCAGTCATCACGAAAGTGACTATACTGCTTCAATACACACCGCATAGAGTGAGGAAATTTGGGGATGCGCCGGCTCTAAAAATAATCAAACGCGTGGACTGTTGAAAATAGGAGATATACGGACGCCACTCCAAAAATTCCAGAAATGAATAGGGTCGCATTCCATGCGGTCCGTCTACCGATAACGTCGCATGTCATGCCCCAGAAGGTCGCCTTGAACGATAAGATATCTATCACGGAAGTAAAAGAAAAGAATATTTACCCCAACGATCAGTCCGCAGTAGAGGGCGAAGGTCGCCATGCGGATGTTGCTTGAATAGTTTGGAAAGTTATACTGAGAGATTCAAGCTCGAGTTGACCTGAGTAGAATCGCGACCATGCGCACCTGGTTGGCGATAGCGGGCATCACAATAGCGATGGCTTGCAGCCAGATATCTGACGGCACGTCAATTGAAGAACAACCCGAAGAAACAAGGTTGCGTACTGTCGGCGAACCAACTGAAAAAATAAAGGAGAAAAAGGTTGCCCACAGAACACACAGGAAAACCGGGCGACGAACCCAAACCCTGAAGAAAAAACATCAGCAGCCCGTTTTATCAGGAATAAATAGAAGGAGCACACCAGCGCTGAAAAATAGTTCGTACTAAAAATTCTACAAATCAGTCATAAGACCAATGGTGGTGGTTGAGGGGAGTGGCCAAACGCCGCGTCGGGGATTCCTTGATGCCGCTCTCGGGTGACGCGACGCATGGCTCCACGCGTCCAATAACGAACGCACCTGGTACCTGGGTCGAAGATGAGTGAGCCATAGAATGCGAAAACGAGCATCGGGCACATACCGACCCAAGCCGCACTCAGCGATAGCATCGTTGAGAACTTTGACCCTGAAAACGCGACCGGTCAGGAACTCTGTCTTCAGTCCAGCCCTGGTACAAAGGACTGAGCGTACTTTGCCAAGAAGATAGGCTTGATACCCTCAAGATGGGCTCTGTCCAACAGGGCTTGGACACTGCTGTCATCGCCAGTTTTTGTGTCGCCTAGATCGTTGTCGTGAACTTTCTCGGAATGGACGCTCATCGTCGTTCAGGAAGAAAAAAGGCGAGCTGTACGATTGCCATCATTTTGTGTTTCGGACCGACGGAAACTCCATCCGCACGCGACGCACGTTCAACCAGTTCAATCACGCGGATCCGAATTCGGGCACCTCTCAAGGCCCTCTTCCTTCCTGTCTTGCGTTCCTCTTTAGGAGATAACGACAACGTCATGGAAAGCTTGAGTTTGACTGAATGCAGAGTATTGAAGTCTAGGTGCGCTGCCAGTGGTACTTAATCTCAGACTGCTATTGAAATCATGTGGCTGGCAAGGTCTTGGCGTGCGGGCCTGAAACAACATGGAACTTGTGAAACAGCTGTTCAAGTTCAGTCAAAGGAGAGAGAGGACGTACGTATGTTATACGGATGAGTTCGGTTCCACAACGCGCTTGAACGTGGTCTGTGGTTAGAAAAAGCTGTCAAAAAAAATGACAAACGTAAGTTTAGGAAGCATTCTGTTGATGGTTTTATGGTGAGGCGTGCTCTTATCGGGCCTATGGTGTAGTGGTATCACTCATGCTTTGCAAGTTCGACTCTTGGAATGTGTATGCGGTCTCGGGTTCGAACCCCGATGGGTCCATATTTTGCTTCTCAATTCCATTTTCTTCGCTTACTGTCTTTTTAAGTCCACGTCGTACGGCTGCTCACGTTTGCTTTATTTTCAGATGCTCCATTTTAATTCAGAGGAAGACCATTATCTCAGGATCTCATGACGGTCACATTTCGCTTGATACAGACTGACTCTAGAATTCAAGGACAACATTTGGACAACATAGCTTACAACAAATGGACATTTAACCTACGGCGAAGTAGTCGGAGAGGTCGGACCAAGTGTCGGTAACAGAATCTCACCGGGACTCTCGTCCACGGGTTTCATCGCATCCGCCTCATGTCCACCTTCAAACTCTCGCTCCAGATCCGGCACATCGCTCAACCACTCATGCAATACCAGCTCGCCCGCCTTCATGCGCAGGTCTGGGTCCAAACCCAGCATAGGTAGCAGGAAACTCGCGATGGCGTCCGCGTCTGCTTGGGGAATCAGGTACTTGTCGTGCAGCACCGATGCGAGCGGCCAGGGCCGCAGATTCTGGATATGCAAGAGCTTGCCTGCAACAGGGAATCAGACGGTTCTCGTGTGGCACGAATCAGCTTACCTGCAGGACCGAAAAAGTCGTCGCTCCATCTTCCAGACTTCCGCACATGTTCGGGCAGGTCCCCAAGCAGCTCGATTATCTGGGCCAGATGGTCGTCGTCCTTTGTATATCTCGGTTTACCTCCGGCACCTTTCGGCGCAGGAGCTGGGTCAAAGAGGTAGTCTCCGCCGGTGATCAGCTCAAACAACTGCAGAAACCAGCTCAATGCACGAAGTAATTGCAAGGAAAGGGTGAAACGCACTAAACATGCAAGACTCCATACATCTGCACTTGGTCCCCATGTCGTGGAACCGACGATGACCTCCGGGCATCGGTATTGTCGGGTCTGGATATCATTCGTGAAGTGGTGATTTGTCCATGTCGCTGAGAAGGGTGAAAAAGGGAACGAGTGGTCAGGAACGAGATCAAGGATTCAAGGCAGAGCTTGGCTAACCATTCCCCAAATCCGCAATTTTCACCGTGATCATCTCGTACTCGAGTTCTGGATCGACTTCTTCCACCCACCCATCCTCGCCGTCCCTTCCGCTGTCACGCTCTGCCCGACTTCCTGGACGATCCCCATCGAGGTCTAACGGAGGGGGCACGGGTGTGGGGATCCGCATAGGAGTCGTAGCTGCCGGCGCTGACTTGGACAAAGTCATCGAAGACATGCCCAGGTCGTCGTCGTCGTCCACACTTCGCTCTTTGCCCTTCTCCTTCGCCGTGGGGTCGTCGTTAGAGATTTTGAGCATTCCGAGGCCCCATTTATCCCCCATCGATTTCCCTCGCCCAGGGCTGCCGGTGTTCAATGCGGACAGGCTGACGAAACTGCCACTGGGACTCGGACTCGGGAGTGGTTGGCTCCCCGTTATGTTTACGTTGATGTGGTGGTGGCGAGGCCCGGGTGTCTGGTTGCCTCCGCGGCCAGTGGAGGCAGGAACACCTGTGAGTTTGGGCTGAGGCGCCTCGTGGCGATCGGTGGAGAGAGAAGCGGAAGACGACGAGGACTGCAATGCCAACTCGGACTGGATGACGGCCTCGACGTCCGGAATGTAGATCAGGACGTTTTCTGGCTTGAGATCTAGCCAGCCAAGGTGAGGAAAGTCGAAATAGACATCAGGGAATATCTCACCAGTGTGGATGACGTCGCAACATCGATGCATGTAGTCAAGGCCCAGAAGAACCTGTTTCGCGATCTGCTTTACCAGCGGAATAGGCACCCCTTTATTCTACGACGAAACCTATCGTATTGGCAGTCTGTAAGAGTGATGCTGGCAGACGCACCTGATACCTCTTAATTAATCCCAGCAAATTCTCGCCCAGAACCTCAAACACCATGCACACATGCGTCCCATTAGGTCCTTGGTGTCTAAAGTGGTCAAGGAAAGATATAACATGGGATTTTCCTGTATGCAAATTTGGTGTGTTGGCATCGGAAGACGTTACTAGGCGCTGGAGGAGCTTTATCTCATCCACGGCCGTCTCCGTGTAGCGCGGTGCGGATTTAACGACCTTGAGGGCTACATGCCTCTGCATTCTACACATGTAAACCCCTGGGCCCACATCCTAGAGGAGGATAAACGACGCACTGCTCATCGCGTGCCAGCCAGACTGTGGAAAAGTGGCCCCATCCGAGTTTCCGGACGACAATATAGCGATTGTTTGAGAATGAATCTCCTATTGAAACAGGGTGGTAACCACCGAGTTTGTAATCTTGCCAATCCTCCTCGTCTTCGGCCATAGGGGCACAAAATTAAAGGCAGTTGAGCTCCGGGCTGAGCAGGGACGTTCGTTATCTTCCCATTCCTTATCGCTTCCCCGCTTGTGCACGCCGGTTGAACAATCAAAAAGTTGTGATACAATTTACCCTTTTCCGTAGAGGCGGCGGATTAAGCTGGTAGGAGGAAAGGTGGTGCAAGAAGACGAAGACCTAGGTCGAATTGGAGGTCAAAGCGCATTATACTGTCCGTTTCTCGACTTTGAGTGCGATTCGGCCCGTGCGGCATCATGCTTCGGAAACAGTGATCGGTGATTGGAACAGGCTTGGCCCTTCGGCCCGAATCGCCGATTCACACGACAACTTCGAAAATTGCCGAAGTTATCAAACTGTTGTCAAGACTCAACCAGTTTCAGCAAACTTACGTATAGAAGGAAGGGCTCACAAAAGAAATGTCTGGATTGACACACATTCCTTTCCGACGGAGTTTGCCTCAAGCTTGTTCAAAATCCTTCATTGGACTGTTTCTTTCATCATCATCCATGGAAAGAAGAAGAAATACTTACAATGAAGCGAAACGGCTTTTAAACGCGACGAAGCCATTTATGCATGCGGGCAAGTGCGGAGTAAAACCGGGGTTCAAAGCCTACGAAAAAATGGAAGTCAGCTATCGGACGAGTACCAAGCGAATAAATAAATAAAGCATCCAACACTGAGAATGAGTGGTTCCGTTCTCTGTTTTTGTCGCCATTGTCTCTGCAAATAGACAAAATGGTGGGACCTTGATACAAATGTCAAGAAGGCAGAAATAAGATGAGGAATCGATATGTACATCGCCGAATGACTGCTTGAAGATGGAACTGAAAAACGCACTGGTTGAATTTTTTCTGTAGTGTTAATCCACAGTACGAAGATCAAGTGCGTACCATGAGACGGAGCGGCGTTGAACGGGACGAAGCTACATAGTTATGCATCCGCGCAAATGCGGGTCCTTAGCCGAAGAAAAATGGGATTTAGATCCGGTCAGACAGTGCCAGGTGGTTAAATAATGCGACAAAATGGACACTGGTGCGGTTCTCTTTTCGACGAGTTGTGCAACTTGTGCCGCCACGATCTGTGCAAAAAGTTAAGACCTTGATTCATCTTTGAACATTTAAGCAGGCAGAAACAAAAAGAATAGATAGTCGGCGAAGTATTTGAACATAAAGAAAGTCTTGAGGGAAATGGAGGCCGGACGAATGTTCAGAATAATTAACGGATCAGGCAAAGCCGATGGACCGAAATGACTCACTGATTCGCAAGTGGGACGATACTTCGATTTTCAAGGCTCCATATTGCATCCTAGATTCAGAGTGCGTTGTGCGAGCGACGTGGTGGGCGGGAAGAGCAATGAGGCGGGATCAATTTCAAAGTCGACGTCTCGACCACGATCACATGTTCCATCGCGACGCCACATCGCACCATACCGACACAACTTGACACTTGCAAAGACTATGCGAATGCTTGTATACATACCAGGTACTACCTTGAAAAGAAAACGTACCCCTCAGAATGGCACCCAAACAGCCGTTCAATTGAAGGTTGGAATTTTTCAACGCGTTCTCGTTCTTCAACTACTTGCAACTAACTAGCTTGCAAGTTGCAACAAGAGCTATCATAATGTTCATGCCGTCAATGCCATCCGTTATAATACATGAAAGCACATCACATCCAAACGCGAATCACTAGTTCGATGTCCTGCCCTCCCTGACATCCACTGCGACTTCAGAGGATTTCTCGACCTCAGGCTCTACACTCTCAGAGATGCTATCCTCCGGGCTTGCAACTGTTGCATGCCTGTATCTGTACCATGCAACAACCGTCACGGCGTTCGTGAGGACCGCGCAAAATACTGTCGGCCACGGAAGCTCCGCAGTTATCCGAACTGGTGTTAGACACGTTCGTTATGATCTCAAACAAATAAGTACTGAAGACTGACTGTATTGCGTGTCGCGGTAGGGCAACATGATCCCCAGCTTGTCAAGCGTGCTCTGAATTGCTGACATCGGGAGTTCTGCCGACCCCGAGTGGACGACGAGCGTCTCGCTGTGCAAAAAGACAAAGCCCGTGTGTACAGCACTGGCGATCACGAACAACACGGTGCCGACGAGCACGCCCACGACCTGGTGCGGAAGAGTTACGCTTGAAAGCGGCTCTTTCGGCAACGTGATTCGCCGAAGGACGAACGGGGGGACGATTTTGAACATGTCGTGCAGCATGGCCAGTAAGATGTGGCCGACCGCGAAGGTTAAGAGGTTGTTGGCAACAAACACCAGTATGGAGGTCGTCTTCACGTCTGCATAACGGGTGAGCATCTTGAGACATCACACCCAGCGGATTTCGAATGACCAGCATATCCCAGAACGGCGGAGGAGACACCGGACGGGAGGTTAGCGTTGAGGTGTTTCTGAACGGTGTTATGTCTATGACAAAAAATTTAAGCGCAATTGAACGCGACCAAAGGAACTGTCAACGCTCACTCCGTCCAGACCTTGACGTACAGAGCGCCTGCTGTGATTGAGAACACCAGCGTCAAGAACATGAAGAGCAAACGGAGCCCTCCCAACGGCAAGTCATTGTGAACTAGCTTGCGGGCGATGTTGCGGAAGGTAGGAGCCATGGAGGGAAATGAGACGATCTACACAACTGTGTTTTGGGCTCGGCAATAGAAGCATCCGTGTAAGTGCCCCC